TAGGCATAGCAACTCAAACATGAGCCTATCGAAGTCTTACAGAGGGAAAACCTGATAAGAAAGGGAAGATCCGAGTTGCGGAAGAATCATGCCGAAACTCACCGCGAAATGAAGCCAACAGACCTTCACGAAGGCCAAGCACACTCCTGTTGGCCAAACCTTTTTTGGCCTGGAAGAACCAACCCCGGCCAGGGCATAATCACTCGAAAGAACCACCGCTCCAAGGACCCCAGGAACAGCAGGCTCGGATGATGCGCTCTTCTCAGAAGCACAAACCCGTCTTGCCCCGTTAAAAGCTTAATCTCATTATGAGCGCATATCTCATTTATCACTGTCGTACCCTAGCTCGGAAGCCTACAACTCCTCCCTCCCCGGAGGGAGCACCGCCTCGCCCCTAAGGGACCGTCCAATACCAACAATGCCCGTACAAACGCGACGGAGGAAGGAAGGCATAACTACTAAATTCGCTATTGCCGTAAGCAGAGCTAGCAAAGCGCGGGGCGCGCCGCCTAAAAAGTATTGTTCCATTTTTCAAACAAATAGTGTGGGTTCCAAAGGTATGGTATCAGCGGTTAACACCCGAGCGGAGTGACTTGTCCATGCCCGATCTTTGTCGTCCCCCAAATAACAACCATTAAAGGCATGATCCATCGGTACCATGGAGTCAGCAGACCTCGATGACCCCGGGGAAGGTGGAAGCAGCCTCACATTACATATGGGGAGAGCGGCAACGATTCAAAGCCAACTAAAGACACCAACCATTAGCACCACTTCTAGTCTCGAGGTAATGCTCAACCCCGAAGACCTCCATTATAGTAAGACAGTGCTCCAGAAGGCCAACAATGCCTTTACTAACACAAGATTGACATACAGCTTCAAAGGCCTCCGTCAAGTGAAACCAGCTTGCAAAGAAACAAGTGTTTTTTTAACAAACACCTGTACGAAACGGGCTCCGGGTGCTATCTAGGATGGTCCAAGAACGAGTAGGCCTTCGTTCAGAGACTTCCTTCAGGAAGTCACCCGCGTCCCTGGTCTACGGGTCCTCGAGCAAGTTTCTTCTCGAAGGGTTATTATGAGGCCCGAAAACATTATCCACAACTCCACGCAAAGATAGGGTTCTAGCGGCCCGAGGTTATTGGCCTTATTCGGGTTCAGTTTAAGAAATCACGAAGGACCCCACGCGAAGCTGTTTTTATCAATCGAAGGCCGGGAAGAATACTCACGTCCGAGGTTAGTATCACAGATGATAAAACAAGATCGTTCATTCAGGTCTGCCAAAAACATAAAAGAATACCGCAAGTATCGAAGGAAGGAATCAAGGAAATATCTTTGTATTTATAAAAATGTCCACTTACAACGACCCTCGGGGGGTCCTTACATATGATTACAAAAGCCTGCAGGGGGATCCTTACGTAAAAATAAATAAGTTCAAAAGATATGCATACAACAAGAGCCTAGGAATCTAGCCTATTCCCTAAATACGGCATCTCCGTCATCATCCCCTTAGGCGTATGACCTCAAAGACAATATCTTCCAAGTCCAATTCCCTCGAGGACCTCATCCTAATACCTCCCGGAATGGCATCTTCAAAAGGAAGAATATAGAAGAGGAAGGCGGGGGAGAAGAGCAAAATGACAAAAGAGAGGTCGGAAGAAGACAAGAAGTGGCCGGGTGAAAAATTTGGCAAGTACGAACTCCGCTAGTACTACCATTTTAAAGCCACTTCTTGAGACGTTGCCTCAACCCGGGAGGCAACAGCCAGCAGAGACTGTCGCCATACCCCCTAGGAATCCAAAAGGGGTGTAACGCACCAAGCCGAGGGAGGAGGGTGAGCAGCGATGCATAATCCAAAGTATCTCCCAGGGTCGGAGGAAATCGGCCCTCTGCTTCATCGCCCCAAGCCAACGACGACTGCAACAACAATAACAACAACAACAACAATAGCATCACAACGACACAACTTTGTCCAACCAAAAAGGGGTCGAGAGTTGGGCCAAGGCACACATGACGTAAGATCTTGAGGCCGTGGGCCTCAAACATAACGAAATGGCAAAGACTAAAGATAGCAGGAAATGAGGAAAAGATAGGTATCAAAGGAAGCTTGAATGAGAAGCTGACCACAAGAACCCCATTTATAAAGGGAGGGCAAAGTAACCTACGATGCCATTGCCGCCCTCGAAAAGTGTAACAGCAGGCGCAATCAATGCGTTCATGGAAGCTGAGTCGATAGCAATAACACAACCACGAAGAACGAAGAGTCGTGACATTTTGGATGATCCTGGAGAAGCCATACGGCGAAACGCCTCGGCACTTGTAAAAATGGGGGCTGCACCATCAGCACGACGTCGTTATGGGAGACCAAGAAGTGGGGTGTCAAAATCATTTATTATCACTTCCCTCTAAGAAATGCGGAGACTATCTGTGTGCGGTAAAATCGGGGAGGCTGATTTCTCCTTGACAAAATGCTTCGGAGGGTGATCTCGGAGGCCTGGGATCTCGAGCCAGTCACTTCCCTCATGATCTTTCGATGCCCAGCCAAGGATAATACCGACCGAAGTCCCGACGAACGCGGGAATCTCCCGAAGAATACATCCGGAGTCGACCAGGTCTATTTGAGCAGCTCAACATCGACCCACGTATACGTCATAAAGCTAGCCGGTTGTCCCATCCTATTTCCTTTATCACGCAACGTATCTTGTACTAAGTTAGGGCTCCCCCTTCCTATAAAAGGAGAGTCGCTAACACCCTGTAATCTTAGAGCTCCATCTATTCTACTCAAGTGCAATAATCTCTCTCTCTCTCTCTCTTCTTTCTAACTTGTTCGTTCTCTCTGGCTCGAGGCCACTTTAGCATTTATAGCTTTCTTACTTGTTCTTCATCTATTGCTTGGTCTTGGCCATAAGGAGCCTTGATTAATCATATCTTAACTGTTATCCCATTCCCGACTACCCCCAATAGCTCGAGATCGAGCCTAGGTATCGACCCCGAGGTCCTCCATCGACCAGTCCGAAGCTAGGGCAGTAAGTCCCTCGGTCTGATTATTGCCTCATTTTAGCTCGCATTTCATCGTTAAACTTCATATTCTTAGCATCATCCGCTCATACAACTAGCATAAAAATAGATCACGTATTTTTAGAATCTCATCTACAAATTTAATTGTTGTTACCATTTTCATAGTAAACAAATATGTATTCAATGTATTGTAGAATGTATTCATATGTTTTTTTTAATTAATATAATTTATGTATTCAGATGTATATATGTATTCAAATGTATCTGCAGTATGTATTCATATGTTTTTGCACTATAGATGACCAGTTATACTTCATGTATTCAACGTATTGCATGTATTTAACTGTATTCAATGTAATTATATAATTTTAATATATAAATCTATTTGTAAACATACCACTAAAAAATATTTTAGTAAAGATACCACTAAAAAAAGAAAGGATGGATTGAATCTCTAAAGATTGCTCTATTTTTGGAGTGTTTTTCGGCTGAGAATCTTTTCTATAACTGGAGATACAAATTTTGTGTGTTATAATTGAGTTTGTTGAGTTATATTAGGAGTCTATCGCGTTAATTGATTCACTTACCGTTTTTAAAAAGCTGAAGACCTTTTTTCTCACAAATTTTCGTTACTATATTCTCGAATATAGCTCGCGAATACATATGAATACAGTCTATGTTTAGCTGGACTTGCTTGTTTTCTGCCGAGTTTTGCTACTGTATTCATGAATATAGTAGCTTTAATACATCGGATACACTCTATAACAAGTGAAAACATAGGTATATGAAGTAATTAAGTAAATGGTAACTATAGCAAATTAATAGCCACTAAACAATAATATTTTTGAAAATTCCTCTTTAAAATATTAAAAATGACCCATACATCCTAACCCACTCATTTAACCATTTTTCAACCAAAAGAAATTGAGAAAGAAAATAGGCCAATTCAAATTAGTGTTGAGGTCTTCGTGACAATTCCTCTCGAGCAATTCTAATTTTGTGGAAGAATACCAGTTATTACAATTAGGCGAAATGACTTCCTGGCCACTTAAACTTGTAGGGTTTTTGAAAACCGATACACGAACTTACATTGTTCCCATTTGAACACTCAAACTCATGTATCCGATAATTAATAAACCTATTTAAGCGTTGATCATGCATATGTGTCAGTGACAAAGATGATGTGGACAAGGTATGTACAAGTCACGAAAATTACGCGCGTGACTGCAATAGTTGTGATTTAAAAAATCTAAAACCAGAGAAAAAAATTAAAAAGAAAGAAAATAAATCAGACCCACTTACCCCATCCCCGCAAAATTCGCTTCACCCCTGTATTCTTTCCAATCCCAAACCCTTTCCAATTCCAAATATTAATTCCCAGAGCTTCATCCACCTCCTCAACATCCCCGTATCCCATCTTCTCACATATTCTCTCCACCGTCCTATCAAACGCCGCTACCACATTCACCACCGTTTTAGCAGAAGCTTCAATAAACAAACATCCATTACTCTTCGCGAATTCCTCGCTTTCCTCTGCATTAACAGTCCTAATATTTTCTCCGACGTCACACTTGTTCCCTACTACTATTACTGTCGTATCGCGTTGTTGCAGTATATCTTCCAACTCGACAACCACTCGAAAGTGTGCCTTTTAGTCACATCGTAAACAAGTAGAGCTCCTGCGGCGGCTCCGTAATATACCCTCGTAACCAAAAGGTGTATAAGGAAAGCAATTTCAAATTAGCGAAGCTCATGCGGCGTCTCTGTAAACAAGCAAAGCTCCTTCTAAAAGGTGTAGAAGGAATAATGGAAGAAATAAAATAAGAAGGAAATTTTGATAAATTAATTATAAAAAAAAGAACCCTTGATGACACGTGTAAAATAATAAATGGCTTTAGTACTTGACGTGTTCTTTTTGTCGCGCAACTAAGTTATAAGCTTTGAAGAAATGGTTTATTTATAATCAACTGGTTGAGTTGAGATGCTAAAATGGAAAAGTCAAAAAGTTTATATTTCGGCTTTAAAATGCGGTACAAGTTTGGGTCAGCACGCCATTTCGCCTTACAATTACAAAGCAGAACCGCCGATGGTTTCTTCAGTGTAGTGTGAGAATAAGAAAATGAAAAATATTAGCATTCTCCGTCGTTCATTTCAGAGAAGTATGTTCTCCTCAGCTGCAGGACTTGTCCAGAACACCCGTCATGGCTTTTCCACTTTGCGAGAGGAGCCAGAACTAGACGAACTAATGGAATTTTTGAACAATCTGAAAAACTTCGAGAAGTCAGGGGTTCCAATAGGCGCAGGCACAGATTCCGAATATGGTTTCGATCTTGGTAGAATGAGTCGCTTGGTGGGGCTCCTCGGTAATCCCCAATCTAGGTTCAAGGTCTGATTTTTTCTACCACTGCTAAATAGGAATGTTCATTCGGTTATTCAATATTTTGTAATTTTGTTGCAAATTTAACCTTTCTGTGCACAGCGAGTAGTACTAAATTTATCTTGGTTTTTAACTAGGTTGATTGAGTTCACGTGTTGTTTGCTTCTTTAGTCATAGTCCTCGTTGCTGAGTGTTTCTAGTTCAAATTATTGTAGACTGTTCATATTGCTGGAACAAAAGGAAAAGGATCAACTGCTGCATTCCTCTCCAGTATATTGCGGGCAGAAGGCTATTCTGTTGGTTGCTATACTAGGTATTGTTAAATATGCTCTTATTATTTAGCTCAGGCACTTTGTATTTAATTAATGTAGTTTGTATGACTATTTAATATGCTTTATATGAGCAGTCCGCATATACAGACTATTAGGGAACGCATAACGTTGGGAAGATGGGGCGAGCCAATATCAGCCAAGGCGTTGAATCATCATTTCAAGAGGAGGAGGGAGGTTCTTGAGAGGGCAGTGAAACTTGAGAATGGATGTCTCAGTCATTTTGAGGTTTTTTTCCCTTTCTTTTTGCAGTAATATAAACTTAATTATTGAAAGGTGGTTTTGCTGTTAGATCAGAGAAAATTCCTTTATGCTTTGCTCCATGGAGTTATTTAATAGTTTCTTTCTATAATTCCGAGAATTTGCTTTCTCCAAATCAATTTTCAGTCGCGATTTTTGGTCTGCCTCTTCATATGGTCTTGTCTGAGTTGTTCCATTTTTCTCTTAAAATGTCAGGTTTTTACTGCTATAGCATTCAGCCTATTTGCTGAAGGGAATACGGAAATTGCAGTTGTGGAGGTTAAATGCGTTAACTTGACTCTTTTCTCTATGATAGCTATACTCGTTTTTTCCCCTCCCACTTCCTCTGTTCTTTCCCATTGTTGGTGTTTGAAAAAATAGATGTTTAGACCATATTAGATTTTTGGTCTTTTATCTTTTCTTTTCCTCCAAAATCAAAGTTGTCTTTCTGTTCGTGTTTACATTAACGTTTTAGATTTTCCCCTATCATATAGGCTGGATTGGGCGGAGCACGAGATGCCACTAATGTTATTTCAGGTTCTGATCTTGCTTTATCAATCATAACTACTGTTGGTGAGGAACATCTAGAAGCACTTGGAGGCTCTTTGGAAAGTATAGCGGTGGCAAAATCAGGAATAGTTAAGCATGGGCGCCCAGTTAGGTGGTTCTTCCCTCTGCCTATCCATTGCATATATTTCAAGATTAACTTAAATTTTTTTGGAAATTGTGTTTGATCTAATGATGTTTGGTTATTTGAACATGTGTGCTTTCAGACACTGGGCAATTAGCTCATGCCCTAAATGGATGTATTTTTTTATATGCGATAGGATACTAATCTGCTAGTTCTAACCTCTAACTTGATGAGAGAGCAAAGATGATTAACCTCTTAATGTTGTGTCTGTAGTATGTTGCGTTCAAAAGGAAAAAGATTGGCCAGTTTGTTGTCCTTAAACTCGGAAAAGAAAAAACATTATTAGTTATCTTATTTGCTATTTGGATCAACTATGCTTGACTTGTTTCAAATCATTCAATATTTCAGCTTGTTCTAGGAGGTCCATTCATTCCATCTATTGAGTGCATTCTTCGTGGGAAAGCATTTTCTATGTCTTCACCTGTGGTATCAGCATCTGATCCTGGAAACAGAAGCGCTTTGAGAGGCTTCTGTGACGTGAGTAGCATACCTCGCCAATTGTGTGATATAGTGCTCCAGATTGTGAAGGACTTTGATCTGGTATATACTGATCTTCATTTGTGCTTCATACATGACAAATTGGACTTTTTGAAACTTGTCCAATGTCCAACAATATACAAGCTATTGATTGTTTTTCATAAATTGTGCAGTCGATTGAACTTCTAGGTGTGAAATTACGCATGCTTGGAGCTCACCAACTTCAAAATGCTGTAACTGCTACATGTGCAGCCTTGTGCCTTAATAAGCAAGGTAAGGACTCAAAAATATCTTTTAATCTTTATTCAATATTCAATAGTTGTTCTAGCAAGTTAAAATGTCTTTGGCTCTGATGGAAATTGAATCATATAACCTCCTTTTCTTGTTATTTGAAACATCACCGGCATCAGTCAAGTACTCGATTAATTTTTACTATGGTGATTGGCTTTCGAATGCCACTTAAAAGGAAAAGTGGATACATTTTTTTCTTGCCAGTTAGTTTACGAATTTTCTCTAACAGTACAGATTGGCCGATGCATATGGGGATCATTTAATCTTGTATTATATATTTATGATAGGTAGGTACTCAACCTTGTGTTCTATTATGCAGTATAAATTTGATATAGTTTTAGGGATTGAGGATGCTAAAACTGCATAAATCATTGGGCTTACAGCTTGCTCCATGATACAATGATCATCTCAAAGCTTTTACCTTTTTTTATTGTTAATTTGAAGGATTTGTTCTTGGCAAATCTCGTTTACTCTGTTGAACTAATGGCACTTAGGCCAAGATTTACTTTTCTCCCATGACATGCTAGAACTATTTCAGGGGCATTTAGTTACCAACACGTGCTTAACCCCATTAATTTTGGATTTTCTCTTTTCGGTTGTGGGTTTAACTCTAATTGGCATGATTCTCCTGATTGACTCAAGTAGTTTCAGAAAAGGATGGGAATGGGTTCATCTTAAAGCTTCATAAAATCTCTTCCGTTTGTTTCTATAAATAGATTGAAATGTCGTCTAATAATGGATCTAAGTTATTTTAACTGCAGAATTTACATTAACGTCAGGTACTTGATTGAATTATTTTAACTTTTTGCTTGTATACTATGATCAACTTCCTTCTTAACTTTATCCTTGTAATGCGTCTAAATACTAGGATGGAGTTTGTCCAGTGGATCTATTCGTGCTGGTCTGGAGAGTGCGTTTTTGCAAGGCAGAAGCCAAATATTGTCTTCAGAAGAAGCTAATTTACTTGGAGTACCTGGGGCCACTATACTACTTGATGGAGGTTGAATCCTGATGTTCTTATTGTTGGCCATGCATGTGTACATAGCCATGGATAATACAGTGATTTACATCTGTTTTCAAGAGTTGTGATTGTCAGTCTTTGGTAGTGGATACTATAATAATGAATAAATATTTTCAGCACATACAAAGGAATCTGCCAGGGCTTTGGCAAACACGTTGCAGATGACATTTCCAAAGGCAAAAATGGTTGTTGTGGTTGCTATGGCTAATGACAAGGACCATCTAGGTTTCGCAAGAGAGCTACTCTCAGGTTTGACCATCTAGGTTTTGCAGATGACATTTCCATATCTTTTTTTGGTTGATGAGTTCTTATTCATGCATAAATTTAATTATTCAATTACAGCGGAGCTGCAGCTTGAAGATTGTGGAATAGTTATGTTGTTAATTTGACCCCTTTTGCATGTTTGCTATCATTATATCGCAACCAAATACTTTTCCTAAAACTTTGACATTGTTCCGTTATCAATTTGACCCCTTTTGTGTATTTGCTACCGTTACTTCGCAAATAAATACTTGTCCTAAATCTATGACTCTTTAGAGTGATTAATGAGAACTTGAAACTATGGAGAAGTACTCTAGAGAGTAGTTATCATAATATATGCATTGCATGTTTAGCCCCTATTGGAAGAATGAAGGTGAAGGAAGAATAGACAGAATTGTGATACCTAAATGAACACAATATGGACATCTGGACTTATTCTTCGAGTAGAATGGTATCAAAAATGGTATGATACCTGGAACAATTGTTAGTAATGTTACATGGGCAATGCATATTGGGCCTCTAAGCCTAAAATATCCACAAGATGAATGTCCTAATAATGCGGATACTAAAGATGGATGTGCAGTCATACAAGATTAGACAATGTTAGAAATGACGATTTCAGATAAAGGGTTCAAGCTATGTTGCTCGGACTCTCCAAAACTGTCGTTGGGTTCATGTCGGATCCTACAAAAGTAGTGTATTTTTTGAGGATCTGACATGGGTGCTGCAATAGTTTTGGAGAGTCCGTACAACATAGGTTGAAGTGGCACACTTAGAGAATAGGTAAGAGATGGTTGTTTAGGATGGTTTTGGTATGTCCTACATAGACTTAATATGCACTGTCTGGAGGTGTGACGATATGATAATTGATGATGCTAAATAGAAATGGGATAAAACTAAAATTACATGGATGGAAACTGTTGAAAAAACTTCAACCTTTCAAAGTCAATGTGAACTTAGCTAAAAACTGTACAAAAGTGGCATAAAAAATCCATATATGCGATACCAACTAGTTGGTGTAAAGGTGTAGTTGTTATGTCTCTTATATTATGTTTGGTCTTAACAAGAGTTGTCCCTTCGGGAACTTCCGATAAATATGTTCAGTCCTAACAAGATTTATTTATTTATTTATTTTTTGTGTAGAATTTTGTATGTTAGTGTGGGGATAGTTGTGAAATTCAAATAATCTCAGTTTTTTTTTTTTTGTCTTTTATAAGACATTATCTGTTATCGGGAATGGAATAGACTCGAGTAGAGCGGAATGATTGAGAATTCATACAACCAAACTTAACTAGTTTGGATTTGTGGCATAGTTGATTAATTGATCGGTTTCAAGATAAATTTGGGATTCAATTTCTAGTTTTTTTCTTCCTGAGGCACAAACTTTGGAACCTCATTATTAGGTTTAAGGTTAAAGACCACATCACTTTAGAGCATCTGAACATTCTTTTTGGTTTGACCAAAATGTTGTATTCCACTAAATCGCACATCTTCCTAGTCAAAATGACTTCTTACTCTTTTTGTGTATTTTTCTATGTAACAAATTGGGCCCAAATGTGGGTTATCAGATTCTTTCCATGTCGGGAAGTTTATACGGTGAGTTTATTTAGCTTCTCTTGGTATAAGACAACTTATAACTGTTCAATTTCAGGAAAGTAGATATTTCTCTAAAATATCTTAGAATGAAAACAAAGGAATTGCTTTTGAGACATAGGGAGTACTATAAAAAAAATTTAAAGTCCTATAAAAATGGAGAGTACTAAAAGCAGCAAACTGTTCCTAATATTTAATGTTTGTTTGCTCTCTTCTTCCATTTGGCCATTTATGTGTTTTAACTGGTATTCTTAGTTCTAAATGAAATATGAGAGCTTTCTGATATTGGAGTGTTTGTCTTGAATATGATACTTACGCATTACATGTTTTCTGGTATTTGATTATATTATAATGACTCCACTAAGACAGCCGTTCCTTTTGGCAGTTGGGGATTTGGATGCTGTATTTTCAACAGAAGTTGACATTGCTGGTGCTAAATCAAGAATGACTTCAGCATCTTTATTGAAATGTGCTTGGGTCAATGCTTTGAGAGAGCTGGATATTAAGGTTCTCGACCTCAAAGTTGCAGATAGTGAGGATCAATCACTTCAAGCTGCAGGGATTTCCGAATCTCGAAGCATTTTACTTGCGGAGGGATCACTATTGGCTTGTATGAGAACTGGTTTTAAGATCCTCAGCGAAAGAACTGGAGAACAATCTGGCATTATAGTAGTCACTGGTTCTTTGCATATTGTTTCTGCCATTTTAGACTACTTGCACAGTTGACTCCTATTTGGTAAGAACACTTCCTTTATGGACTCTGCCTCACGTTCATCCCTGCTTTTTTATTTTCATCATTTAAAGTTTTTTGGGTACTATGCGGAATTTTTTTATGAGTTACTTATTAAAGGTGAATGAATTTACGAACTAATTGTCAGTCTCAAAAGGAGTTGGGGTCGATTATATATATATATTCTGTATCAATTCTGCTCTATTAAGGTTGATCTCATTGCTTAATTACTTGTAAAAGAGAGGATATTTCTATTTCTGTCATTGCACATGCATAGCTTCAGGCCTTATGATTGCTACTGCAATGCTTGTTCACTTTATAGACAATACTAAAAGCTGTATTTTGTTGGTGAAGAATATCCCAGTTTACATGCTTGCTATTATAAATGCATTATCTTGATATATCATCTAGTTTTACGGGCTATTTATGCTGATGTCACATTATCTATTTGTGTAAGGCTTTTGCAAAAGTGGCCTAGGAGGTTCAGAGCCCTGAAATTGCCCATGCAAAAGTTGGACAGCTGAACCGAATGACTGGATGACTTCTCAGCTCTCAGTTTGGTCCTTTTGTATGTACAATTGTTTTGCAGTAACAGCACGTTCTTAAAATATGTATTTCCTTACTACCCAGTTGTTGAGGCCAAGTTTTGATGGGTTTGGGCTATTGTTCTGGAACAGGAATAAAAGCAAACTTCTCTACTTAACCTAAAATAATCCCAGGTGCGTGTTTCTTTTTATCACATCAGCAAATTTGTGAGAAACCTTAATGAAATTAATAGCCTCTTGCACATCACATAGTAAGTATTATAGCTACATGTTAGTACAAAAATATTAATTAAAATTTTTAGAACTGCACCTTTATTCTTTAAAGTAACAAGGAGGAAAAATCGGGGCAATAATTGGTACCATTAAATTTAGTATTTCAATTATCAGCCTATTAGGTTCTTAATAGGTATTCCGATTCGTGCTTCATTAGTAGATCAACTGACCATGGCTACTGTAGCTAAAACTGTGGCCATGCTTAAGTTGAAGAACCGTCAAGCGTGGTCTTCTATGCTCAGGTGATTGCCCTTGAAATCTCTTTGTTGTATTTGCATCTCTTCAACTCTCATACTGGTTTCCAGGAGTCCAGTCTTAAAAGTTAAATAGATGTTAAGTGATCGCAAATTTTAATCGGAAGCACTTTAAGATATTTCAGTTCAAGTCCAAAGTTTCTCAGATGGACGAGAGTTTTTCCTTTGGCATCATATTGACCTTGAGACGAGTTAGTTGATTGGTTCGACAGTTTGAAGATACATGAGGTCATATGAGCATATGACCCTAGTATCAACTTTAGGAAAACTGATTAGTGGCACACACCATTGTGTCGATCAATTGCAGTCAGAGGAATTTAAAAAAAAAAAACAGATCGGTGGAATCTGTTTAACATGTTTCATTTTGGCAAATATATACCTGTAATTACGTTGTTACATAATAAAAGGTGAAAATACTTTGGTTGTTCAGCTATGCATCTGTATAGTTTTCAGTTCATGTTATTTAAAATGGGTATCTTGCATTGGCTATTGAGTGATCATAGGGCAGTGTTACTACAACCACTGCTTATTAACTCATTTAGCAGTCTGACTTTAGTATATTTAAGATGATGAAAATATGAGTAATAGGAAGTCCTATATAGTAAGATAAGCTAATTGAACTTGAAATGAGACACAGAAATCTATCTAGTTCGTATTCAACACAGAACTTGTTCTTTTTCCTTTTACCTTAGTCTTTTTAGTTTAAAAGGAATAAAATTGGGAGTAATGTACAGCTCATACATTTCGTGGTGATCTTTAATGAGGTTTCAGATGGTGAAAAAAGAATGAGAGGACCTGCTTATTTACTTCATCTATTTTTTGTTCTACAATCTCATTAATGTTTCTGTGAAGATGCCAGGCCATACAACCTAATGCATTCCTCCTCTTCAAAACCATGCATCCATTTATCAATTGGTAGCCTTTACCTCTTTCCATTTAACTAAAGTTAAAAAAACATGAATGAGAAATTTGAAGAATATCTTATACGGAAAAGGTCTATAAACCATATCGCCTAATTTGCTTGTTTTTCTTCCGGGATCCACACTGGCGGTTGTATGTAGGAGTTAGCTATTGAATCAAGAATTCAATAGATAACGCCCGGGATCCACACTAGCGGTCAGTGAACATCTCTTTTTTGCGCCTATGAGTCCCTATTTTTCTCACTCTCTCCTCAACAATTAACTTCACCATCCATGTTTCACTGAGCTCCTCTCACCGCCTTACAAGCTTTCCAGCCTTAACTGGTCCTTATACCACTTTATCGTCGTCAGGTTGCCTCTTACCATTTTGAACTTATATTCCGGTGTCCATTACTGAAACACACACACACACACGGGAGAAATTTAAAAATAGCCAGATTTACAACTGGTCATTCAAATGCACCGAACTCTCGTATATTATGCGGCACCGGTCTCTGTTGCAGCAAAATAGTGGCTATTTTTCATTGACTTCGTAAACAGTGACTATTTTTGAATGATCAGTCCGAAAACTGGCTATACCGTGCTATACACCCCTATAATAGCCCATTTGCCTTTGTATCAGCCCTCTGCCACACCTTATTCAACCACTGCTCCTTTTTCGTCGGCCCAAATACCTATTACAACTTGAGAAAATCTCACTTTATACCCGTTAAACCCAAACTATTTACCCTTTCATACCTAAGCCCAAAGAATTTACTTTTCCTACCTATATGGCCTAAACCATTTACCCGCACCCAACCCCCTTTCTCTTTTTAATTTCTCTAAACAAGAGAGTCCACACCCCAGGCGTTCCTTTCCCCTTTCAAAAAATACCTATAGCTTAGTCTTTTTAGTGGATGATGAAAATCCAGTACATACCCGTGCATTTACCCATTTGTTTTTTAGAATTTTCTATATAAATTTGAAAAGACAAGTTTTCATATTATTTTACATGTGTTTCACTCCAGAATCCTCTTTCTATATTAGTATATTATTTTTTATGTATTTATTTGTATTTCTGAACCCATGTGTTGTTGTGGTTATATATTAAGCTTCCCAAATCTGAATTTTGTGTGTATTTGAACATCCACCATTGATGGGCTTGAAACTCTTGAATTTAAAAATTTTATTTTGAAGATTTCTTGTTTGATTCAAAGTGGGTGTTATTAAATATTGCTTATAGTGCCCAAGAGGTTGTGAGTTCGAGTCTCCCCAAGAGCAAGGTGGGAAGTTCTTGGAGGGAAGGATGCCGGGAGTCTATTTGGAAACAACCTCTCTGCCTCAGGGTAGGGGTAAGGTCTGCGTACACACTACCCTCCCCAGACCCCACTAAGTGGGATTATACTGGGTTGTTGTTGTTGTTGTTGTTGTTGTTGTTGTTGTTGTTGTTATAGTGCCTTCTGAAAGTTCATACTGAAATTTGATCTCATTTGAAGCTGATCTGAGGTGATTGAGAACAAATTTTTCAACTGAAAATCGAAGAAAAATATAGTTATCCAATAGTATACCGATATGGTATACAAATATACTATAAGAGTATATAGCTATACTGTTATACTCGAACACAGTTATCCAACAATATATCACTATGATATATATTATACTGTAGGAGGTATATAACTATACTGCAACAATATACTGTTATAGTATACAATATACTATAATGATATATTATAATAATATGCAGTATACTGCAACCGTATGCAATATACTGCAACCGTATGCTGTAATAGTATACAATATACCATAATTGTATACTTCGACTGTTATTTGTTGAATCATCTAGGTGCTATTGTGTAAAACTAAAGTCATAGTTATAGTAACATTATACTGTTGTAGTATACAATATAATAAAATAATATACTGCAATAAATAAGTTATTTTTTAAATTTTTTAGTTTTTTCAACTAGATCCTTGCAAATGTTTTCTTAAATGAATTTGATAGAGTTCCATAAAAATAATATTAATTGTATAAGTAGGTGTCAGATGATGTAAAATAGTAATATACCTATTTGGTATATTTATATGCAGTTTTGGTATACTATTATGACAAGTATTTTATAATAGCATTAAATACTAATATGCCATTTTTTTATACTAATATACCATCTTATTATAATGACATATACTTTTGGATCCTATGTGCTAGAAATATTTACAGTAATACATATATTTTAAAAAAGAAAAAAAAATGAAAGATAATAAGAAAAAGATAAATAAGATATACTATATAGGTTGTTTTTTTTTATAATTGATATGGAGAAAAAGAAAAATATGGAACAAATAAGGGGGAAAAATACTCTTTATCAGTTTTTTTAATTATATAAGAAAAGGAAAAAATAAATAAAGAAAAGGATCAAATGAGTGCTGGATCATCAATAAGCATTCTATGGTCCATGGAATAGGTAGACTGGGTAAATACTTTGGTTTGGGTAGAAGCGGATAAATTGTTTGGGTTGGGTAGGTATTTGTGAACTTATCCCTTACAACTTCTTATTCTTATTTCACAAAGTCCGCTCCTTTTTCGATGGCCCAATCGCTCAGCACGGTCCAAATACCTATCTATATACACTACCCAAGCCCTGATTTGTTTTTCCCTAGCCCACTTATCCTATTTTTCTAACCATATCGTTCCCTCATTTTCTCACAACAGGATCTTTCTCCTCATGGTCTTTATTTCTTGAATGCTAAATTGGATTTTTCGAAGTTCGATAAAAACAACGTCAGGAGTTGGATAAGATGTTGTGAGTATTACTTTGATCACTATTAGGTGCCCGATGCTGCCAAAATAACTTGTGTGGTAGCGAGCGCTAAGGATAAGTTTGATAGTTGGTTTGATTCTTACGTTATTGATCATGTGGGCTTGGTTTACTGGAATCGGGTTTGCTTAGACATTTGGTAAAAATTGCACGGGGCGCCCTATTTGGTCGCCCCCATTTAACCTATATTCATTTTTTTTAAATTTTTTAACTTGTACCCTAGGGCGCCCCCATTTAACCTATATTCATTTTTTTTAAATTTTTTAACTTGTACCCACTTTTTAAATAATTTCAACCCCCTTTCTCCTCTTCCTTCTCCTCTTTCATTTTCTTCTTTTCTTCTTCTTTCTTCTGTCTTCTGCTACTATTTTCTATCTAGTCTACTAGTCATGTTTGATCTTATTTTCTAGTCAATGCACTAGAGAGAAAACTCTTGCATATTTATTCAGACATGCTTTTCGTTTTTTAGCAGAAAAATAGTGTATGTTTTTTTCTTTTGCACAAGTTATTACATAAAATTACAACTTCTATTTTCTTAATCAATGATAAGCACCTTTTCTTTGCAATTTGACGTGGACCATTTGAGGCAACAATAAAATCTTAAGTTACTTTGTTATTCGTTTTCGTACTTTAATTATTTGGCAAACTGCCATTAATTCCGTGAATACTGTACCATATATATAACCAAGAAAACTACAAATGAAGTTATTTAGAAAGTAGAGCCATAACTATAGCTGAAGTTACGTGAAAAGAGTGTCATTTGGGGTAGTAAACATAAGTTTCCCAGTTACAAAAGAAAAAGCTGAAGTTTTTATTTTATAACTGGTGAACTTCAGCTCTAGGTTTTCCGGTTACAAAACAAAAACTTCAGCTCTAGAGCTGAAGTTCGCCAGTTACAAAATAAAAACTTCAGTGCTAGAGCTAAAGTTTTTCTTTTGTAACTGGGAAACTTCAGCTATAGAGCTGAAGTGATTTAGTTCATTGTATGTTTACTACCCCAAATGACTTCAGCTCTTTTTAATGTCTGTCTCCTTGCTGTTTCTCTGGGCATTCTCTTGTGAAAACGAAGTTAATTACTTTTGTGAACTGATTCGGCCTTTGTACGTAGTTCACATGAGCCATCTCAAGAATATTACTATCTTCTTCTTGTTCTGTTTCTCTTTGGTCATAACTATAGCTTGCGACAGTAATATTGGAGTTCACTGGTGTACTGTTAAGTCTGGTTACACGAAACAAAAGTCTGTCCTTCCCTCCTTTTCAGGCAAATTCTTGCATTTTTCCTATCAAAATAGTAGCAGAATCACAAGTACTATAACAGAGAAGGCGTACTTCAGCAACAGAAAACAAAAACAAAAGAGAGTTTTGTTTTCCCGGTTACAAAACAAAAACTTCAGCTCTAGAGCTGAAGTTTTTGTGTTGTAACTGGAAACTTCAGCTCTAGTATGTAATATTAATAGGTGGTAAAAAACTTCAGCTCTAGTATGTAATATTAATAGGTGGTAAAAAAAACTTCAGCTTTCCCATTTACAACACAAAAATTTCAGCTCTAGAGCTGAACTTCAGGCCCAGCTACTAGAATGCTGAAGTTTTGCGTGATTGTCTTTGCTACTTCAGCCCTGTATGCTGAAGTTATGCGAAAAAACGGGTACACTTGCAATTTTTTTTGTAAAGCGGGCACAAGTTAAAATGTGGCACAAAAAACGGGTATAGA